AGGGGGGGGGGTTATAATATCTCCCCCCACATGTGCACAAACCAGACACGGGCTAATCTAGATGGGAGGTATCGATAACCTAACCCGAGATCGTTGCTCATTACGGAGAACATTACAATTTTTGCAGGTATATGGACACACGGGAAATTCTCTTAACAATGATAAGGGCCAGATAATTCACTTGAAATTGTTTCTAACGGGATACATAACGGTACATAATGTACTAGACGCAGACTGAATTCTCCCCGAACTGCGTGGAATTTTTACACAAAAAGATTATCACATGGAAAGAGTATTTAATAAGCTTGGGATGGGTCAAGGGAACTTGGGTTGAATAGGAGTATCAGAAAAAAAAAGGAAAACTAACTTAATGCCGTATGTAGAAGTAATGTGTCTTGTGCATTGTAAGTAGCTTGCCAAACGTTATCAAAAGCCTTTGGATCAGGCCTTTAGTCAATTAAACATAATATATATAATATATATATATATACATATACAATTATTATTATTATTATTATTATTATTATTTATTATTATTATTTTATTTTTTTTATAGATTTTTTTTTTTTTTGCATTCCAATTCATCTTTCCATAACGATTGTGAGGATGAGCATAGCATGTTTGTGCTCTTGACAGGAATAAAGCCAAAGTTTCTATGGAGCTAAATTTTGGGTCATAATTTTGTTTCATTCTCGTTAGTATTCGCATCATTTTTTAATTTTTGAAATTGACTCATAAGGCACAGACCTACTGTCCCATGCAGCTCATCTCTTTGACGCCTGGTGTGTTTAAACAAAGCTGTTTTAAGACCCGGCCATAGACAACCAAAGATCTTGTCAGTACGTTAGTGTTTTGGCGCCCAGATCTATAAATGGCTGCTTGCGCTGTATGCTTCCCATGAAGTTGAGGTTGTTTCAGAATGCTCAGGTCTGCTGGGGTAATAGTATAGATCTTGAAGCGCATATAGAGCTTGCTGTTGAGCGGGGATTTGAGCTATACAAATGCAATCTATTATTATTATTATTATTATTATTATTATTATTATTATTATTATTATTATTATTATTATTATTATTAATATTATTATTATTATCATTATCATTATTATTATTATTATTATTATTATTATTATTATTATATTATTATTATCATTATTATTATTATTATTATTATTATCATTATTATTATTATTATTATTATTATTATTATTATTATTATTACTATTATTATCAATATTGTTGTTATTATTATTATTATTATTATTATTATTATTATTATTATTATTATTATTATTATTATTATTATTATTATTATTACCAGACTGACACAATAATATCTTTTGGATATTTACCACTTTTAAAGATAGGATGTAAAGCGCTCACACACAGTAGACTCCGGCCCGAGTTCGGTTCCCAAATGAGGAGAAATTTTTATAATTGAGTAGGCGTATGATCTCTGTTTTTCTGCTGGCTTATTAATATTGTATCTCTCTTAGCCCACCTATTAATAAAAAACCCCAAAAAACTAACAGCTGGCGTTGGCTACTCAATACCCACTTTTTTTAAAGCCTTGCTTGCAGTACAGTTCGTGATCGGTTGGAAGACAGAATTTTCCCCTATAAAGACCCAGTCTTTTGCACATTTGATTACTTATAGGCCCCTATGCACAAAATATAGAGAGGACCTGTGTGATAGTTGCCAGGGTAAGATTTCTATCTCACAAAATTGATAGTTGAAAACAAGCCTAGTTCGATATTGACCTTACTTTCAGTTTCGCTATAAAAGAATAATGATCAATTCTTAGAATAACACCAGGTATTTATAGGCATACTCAAATCATATTTATTATAGTTTTTGTACGTAGCCTAGGCTACGTATTCTAGTGGCAGAATCTAGACTTATATAGTTACTTTTGCTGTAGTCGAGTGTAGATAATGTAGATTCTGGATCTATAATATTATTACATTTTGCCTGCTTCTTTTAATTTTGTGTTCTCAATATTAAAATACTTCCTAATGGGGCCTACTAGACTGACAGGCTAGCCGTACTTTATGATGATGGCTGAACTGTACATACATTTTTGGTTTGCAATATCTAAAGTATTAACTTATTATTTGTACTTTACACGAAACCAAAAGGTGCCTTACTGACATGCATGTATTTTAAACGTGAATAATATCTAGATCTAATGAGACCTCTGTTCTCAATAGGTTTCGGTCAATACGGCTAGACGGCTAAGCTAGGCTAGACTGTCAGGTTAGCTGTCTTCGAAAATAATATCATGGTAAACAAAATTTAGGAAGCACCGGAAACTCCATGGTTGTTGTTACAAAGGGAAGTAACTCTCATAAAAAACTCGGCTCTTGTGGAAGCTGTTGGAAATTTAAAGCATTGTGTGTGTGATAACAGCAGTTGAAATTGCTTTGTTGGACCTTGAGAAGTTTGAAGAAAGCTGTAGCCTTAGATATATCTAGATTCTTGAGAGAGCAAAATGTCAAATTTCGAACTTCAGTATGAAGCTCTCTGCAATGGAAAAGTACCGGTCTCAAAGTACCGTTCTAAGGAAACGGGTCTGACAGTCTGCATTGCCCAGGTTGATGGGCCCATTGTCAACGGCTATATTTGCTTAGGTAAGTTTCTGGGGGGCATAATTTCAACTTTGTAATCTTTTATTTAGATCTAGATATCTAGATAGATTCTAGATGTAGATTTGAAGAAATTGAAAAATAAGGTAAAGTTCGACTAGATCTACTGTAATTCCAGTTCAGTGCAAATCAAAAGTTTAGTTTTCAATAAAATCTTTTTACCGTGAAAGTAATTACCGTACAAGTACAATTCAGACCATCCTCTAGACCTAGATCTAGATCTAGTCTAAATCTAGTCTAATCTAGCAGAAAACAGTGGGGCATGCCCATTTGAAAAAAATGTAACTCTTGCCCCCCCTCCC